GCGGTGGCTGGGCATGCGGGCTACATGACCCAGCCATCGCAGCCTTGCCTGCCGGAGGAGCTCACCGATGGGACCCTGCCCAGATCTTTCAAGGATTTGTGAGCTCCTCACACAATCCAGTCTGGTTAAACCCAGGATGGATCGTAGGCAGGCCAGCCTAAATGTTTCTAACCGGCGAAGATGTTCCATTAGGGGGGTCCACGTTTCGCAAGCGTAGAGAAGGGAGGGAATGACCGTGGCCGAGAAGACCTGAAGCTTAGTGCGGAGCGACAGACCAGGTAGCTTCCACACAGCGTTACGCAACCGATGAAAAGATATTGCCGCTCGACTGATTCGGAGTGAGACCTCTGCTGTTAAACTGGAGCCAGTCATAAGCACACTGCCCAGGTATGGGAAACTCTCCACTCTCTCCACAACTGCCCCATCACCGATTGGGAGTTGTGGGGGTGGAGTGTCCGATGGTACAAAATACCCAGGCAGGTGCTTAGTTTTGGTGGGGCTGATGGTAAGGCCCCACCTCTTAGTGGCACGCTCCAGTTTCAGCAGCAGCGTCTCCAACTCCTCCTCTGACTGAGCAGCTATTACCAAGTCATCAGCATACATAACGTGGTTGAGCAATAGGGAGCCATCCCTTGACCGCACCCGGGCATCGATTAGCCTCCCATTATATCTGTACCATATGGAGATTCCCCCGGTACAGCTATTGAAGGCTTCACGAACTACGTGGTCAAAATAGATGTTAAATAATGTGGGAGCCAGAGGACATCCCTGTCGCACCCCAAGGTGTACAGGGAATGGCTCTGACTCCCGGCCACGTAGTTTTACCCGGGCCCGCTCACCATCATGAAGGTCCTTAATGATCGTGAGCAGAGGGTCAGGTACTCCAAAAGCACGAAGAACGACCCAGAGCCCAGGCCTACTGATGGTATCATAGGCCTTGACCAGGTCAATAAAGCAGAGATGTAGGTCTTGTTGGAATTCCCTACACCTCTGCTGTAGCAGACGGACAGAAAATATGGCATCTGTGCAGGACCGCCCTTTCCTGAAACCGCATTGGGGCTCCGCAAGCCTCTCCTCAGCGTGCCTGGCAAGGCGATGCTGAATAATCCTTGCCAGGACCTTTCCCGGCACACTGAGGAGTGAGATGCCCCTGTAGTTGTTACAGTCTGTGCGGTCCCCCTTCTTAAAAAGGGGGACCACCAGGGCATCCTTCCAATCCTGCGGAACCCGTCCAGTGGTCCAGACTGTTGTTATGATGTCATATAGGGCAGTCTGTGCACAAACGCCACCCTCCCTCAGCATTTCGCTTGGGAGATCATCTCTGCCCGCTGCCTTTCCTGGTCTCAGACTCCGGATCGCCTTCAATACTTCCTCAGCAGATGGCACCTCAGCCAGCCACTCACAGGGGGTGACTTCATCCAATATTTGAGGCACCGCAGCCTCAGCAGGGTCATCCTCACTTTGTGCCACGATGTTTTCCTGGCTGAGGGACTTTCCCTCCCCCAGGATCTCACAGAAATGCTCAGCAAATCTGCGAACCTGTTCCTGGGGGTCGGAAATTGGATCACCGTTTTTTCCCCCAATGATGGCAATAGGTGTGGCGCTGCAGGTTACTTTTTTGATGGAGTTAAATAGAGATTTGTGATCACGGGCCACTGAGGCAGACTCCATCTCCTCAGCAACCCGCGACCACCACCCATCCTTGCAGCGCCTCACGGCTCTCCGAACCTCCGAGCGAAGGCTGCGGTAAGCCTCCTCATTCCCTGACGTGGGATTCTGTAGCCGATGACAGTGGGCCTGTCGCTTTTTCTCAACCATCGTGAACAACTCCTCTGTCATCCAGGGTGTCTGGGGAGGTCTGGACTGCGTACCCAAAGCAGCCATTGCAGCTGCATGAGTCACAGTCCTAAACCTCGCCCATTTACCCTCGACATCAGGAGGAGTCGGGGACGTTGCCAATCCCAGCCGCAAGCGATGATGAAATTCTCGCTTGCAACTTTCATCAGATAACTGAGACCAGGCCACTTTAGGTTGGAATGGGGTCCTGGGTGTACACCCACCACCGGAGTGGAAGAATGGCAGGCGCATCTTACAGATGACTAGTCGATGGTCAGAGGGCAGATCAGCTCCACGGTAGGTCCTGGTGTCAAGGACATGGGCTCGCATTCGCTGGTCCGTCACTATGTAATCCAGCAGATGTTCTTGCTTGGACCCGGCATGCATCCATGATGTTGTGTGGATGCGCCGATGCCGGAACAGCGTGTTGGTAATTACAAGCCCATGGGCTGCACAAAAATCTAGCAGCCTCCTACCGTTGTTATTGAGCTGATCTGGCCCATGCCCTCCAATCACTCCAGACCAGGTGCCAGTATCATGACCAACTCGGGCATTGAAGTCACCCAACATGATGACTCTATCCCGAGGGGCCACTTTAGCCAGCACAGACACACACACAGACACACACACAGACACACACACACAGACACAGACACACAGACACACACAGACACAGACACACACACAGACACACACAGACACACACACACACACAGACACACACAGACACACAGACACACACACACACACAGACATTGTTGGGGTTTCCACTTGCATGCTCATGTGTGGTATCTTTTCATATTGTATGGATAATTACCAATACTAAGTGCTTACAATGGATGTCCTTCATTTTAATTAGAGCCTTATCAGTACTATAATTTACAACGGGTATCCTTATGCGCGGTTTCTTTTAGAATATTTAATGCCTATACTTAAGTGTGGTATCCGATCTAAGGGTATAGTATTATCAGTGGTATCATTTTAAATGAGTATCCTTATGCGTGGTATCCTTTCTAAGGGTGTAGTATTATCAGTGGTATGATTTGAAATGGGTATCCTTATGCGTCGTATCCTTTGTGTTATCAGTGGTATAATTTTCATTTGGTATCCGCATGCGTGGTATCCTTCCTAAGGGTGTAGTATTATCAGTGGTATCATTTTAAATGGCTATCCTTATGTGTGGTATGCTTTTTAAGGGTGTTGTGTTAATCAGTGGTATCGTTTTCAATGGGTATCCTTATGTGAGGTATTTTGAAGGGTTTAGTGTTATCAGTGGTATCATTTTCAATGGATATCCTTATGTGTGGTATCCTTTCTAATTGTGCATTATTAGTGGTATCAGATCTGCCATCTTAAGCTTATCGATGTTAGGTTTTCCAATGGCTGGTCTTATCTTAGTTCGATTTAGTGCCATTGATAGGTATCGGTAAATAAACTGGCATTGTAAATGTTACTATTGACCGGGGGAGGTGAATACATTCGCTATGGTGAGTGAGTGGGTGAATGAGTGGGTGAGTGAGTGGGTGAGTGGTTGAGTGGGTGGGTGGGTGAATGAGTGGGTGAGTGGTCGAATGAGTGGGTGGGTGGGTGAGTGGGTGAGTGAGTGAGTGGGTGGGTCGGTGAGTGAGTGGATGAGTGAGTGGGTGAGTGAGTGAGTGGGTGGGTCGGTGAGTGAGTGGGTGAGTGAGTGGGTGAGTGAGTGAGTGGGTGGGTCGGTGAGTGAGTGGATGAGTGAGTGGGTGAGTGAGTGAGTGGGTGGGTCGGTGAGTGAGTGGGTGAGTGAGTGGGTGAGTGAGTGGGTTGGTGAGTGAGTGGGTGAGAGAGTAAGTGGGTGAGTGGGTGGGTGAGTGGTGAGTGAGTGAGTGGGTTGGTGAGTGAGTGGGTGAGTGAGTGAGTGGGTGAGTGAGTGGGTGAGAGAGTTAGTGGGTGAGTGGGTGGGTGAGTGGGTGAGTGGTGAGTGAGTGGGTTGGTGAGTGAGTGGGTGAGTGAGTGGGGGTGAGTGAGTGGGTGAGTGAGTGGGTGGGTTGGTCGGTGAGTGAGTGGGTGGGTGAGTGAGTTAGTGGGTAAGTGAGTGGGTGAGAGAGTGAGTGGGTGAGTGGGTGAGTGAGTGAGTGAGTGGGTGAGTGAGTTGGTCTGTGAGTGGGGGAGTCAGTGAGTGGGTTGGTCTGTGAGTGGGTGGGTGGGTGAGTGAGTGGGTGAGTTAGTGAGTGAGTGAGTGGGTGAGTGAGTGACTGGGTGGGTGAGTGGTGAGTGAGTTAGTGGGTTGGTGAGTGAGTGAGTGGGTGAATGAGTGGGTGAGTGAGTGGGTGAGAGAGTGAGTGGGTGAGTGGGTGGGTGAGTGGTGAGTGAGTGAGTGGGTGAGTGGTGAGTGAGTGAGTGAGTGGGTGAGTGAGTGGGTGGGTGAGTGAGTGGTGGGTGAGTGAGTGAGTGGGTGAGTGAGTGGGTGAGTGAGTGAGTGGGTGGGTGAGTGGTGAGTGAGTGAGTGGGTGAGTGGTGGGTGAGTGAGTGGGTGGGTGAGTGGGTGAGGTGGGTGGGTGGGTGAGTGAGTGAGTGGTGAGTGAGTGAGTGGGTGAGTGAGTGAGTGGGTGAGTGGGTGAGTGAGTGAGTGGGTGAGTGAGTGAGTGGGTGGGTGAGTGAGTGAGTGGGTGAGTGGTGGGTGAGTGGGTGGGTGAGTGAGTGGGTGAGTTGGTGAGTGGGTGGGTGAGTGGGTGAGTGATTGAGTGAGTTAGTGGGTGAGTGGGTGAGTGGGTGAGTGAGTGAGTAGGTTAGTGAGTGGGTGGGTGAGTAAGTGAGTGGGTGAGTGAGTGGTGAGTGAGTGGGTGAGTGAGTGGTGAGTGAGTGGGTGAGTGGTGGGTGAGTGGGTGGGTGAGTGAGTGGGTGAGTTGGTGAGTGGGTGGGTGAGTGGGTGAGTGATTGAGTGAGTTAGTGGGTGAGTGGGTGGGTGGGTGAGTGAGTGAGTAGGTTAGTGAGTGGGTGGGTGAGTAAGTGAGTGGGTGGGTGAGTGAGTGAGTGGTGAGTGAGTGGGTGAGTGAGTGGGTGAGTGGTGAGTGAGTGAGTGGGTGAGTGAGTGGGTGAGTGAGTGGGTGAGTGAGTGAGTGAGTGGTGAGTGAGTGAGTGGTGAGTGAGTGAGTGGGTGACTCACCCCGCTGTCCCACACACCCCAGAGGGTGAGTGGTGGACGCTACGGGATGACTGATGAGTACCGCTCCCACGTGGCTCTGGCTCCCAACATGAAGAAGTCTCTCTTCATCACCAGCAGGTGGGGGTGGTGGTGGTGGTGGTGATGGTGATGGTGGTGATGGTGGTGATGGTGGTGGTGGTGATGGTGGTGGTGAAGGTGGTGCTGATGGTGGTGGTGATGGTGATGGTGGTGATGGTGGTGGTGATGATGGTGATGATGGTGGTGGTGGTGATGGTGGTGATGATGATTATGTTAATGATGATGGTGATGATTGTGATGATGATGATGATGATGTTGATTATGATGATGTTGATGATTATGATGATGGTGATGTTGATGATGGTGATGATGGTAATGATGGTGATTATGTTAATGATGATGATGTTAATGATGATGTTGATGATGATGTTAATGATGTTAATGATGATGTTGATGATGATGTTAATGATGATGATGGTGATGATGAAGTTGATGTTAATGATGGTGATGATGAAGTTGATGTTAGTGATGGTGATGATGATTATGATGATGATGTTGATGATGATGATGGTGATAATGATGTTGATGATGATAATGATGGTGATGATGTTAATGATGATGATGTTAATGATGATGATGATGGTGATGTTGTTAATGATGGTGATGATGATGTTGATGATGTTAATGATGCTGATGATAATGATGTTGATGTTGTTAATTATGTTAATGATGATGATGGTGATGATGATGGTGATGTTGTTAATGATGGTGATAATGATGTTGATGATGATGTTGATGATGATAATGATGGTGATTATGTTAATGATGTTAATGATAATGATGTTAATGATAATGCTGATGATGTTAATGATGGTGATGATGATAATGATGATGATGTTAATGATGTTAATGATGATGTTAATAATGATGATGTTAATAATGATGATGATGGTGATGTCAGGAGGGTGATGTACATCACCAAGGACTTGCTGGACCAGTACAACACTGAGTGGGACCATCCACACGGTGATGTGAAGTCAGCCACTCGCAGCCAGAACACCATCACCATCACCCTCAAGGTAACACCATCATCACCACCACCATCATCACCACCATCACCACCACCATCATCACCACCATCTACACGGTGATGTGAAGTCAACAACTCGCAGCCAGAACACCATCACCATCATCATCACCATCATCATCACCATCATCATCACCATCATCATCACCATCATCATCACCACCATCACCACCATCATCACCACCATCACCATCACCACCATCACCACCACCACCACCATCACCACCATCACCCTCAAGGTAACATCACCATCACCACCATCATCATCATCACCATCACCACCACTATCATCATCACCACCACTATCACCACCATCACCATCATCACCATCATCACCATCACCACCATCATCATCATCATCACCACCATCACCATCATCACCATTACCATCATCATCACCACCATCACCACCATCACCATCATCATCACCATTACCATCATCATCACCATTACCATCATCATCACCACCATCATCACCATCACCACCAATATCACCACCACCACCATCACCATCATCACCACCATCTACACGGTGATGTGAAGTCAACCACTCGCAGCCAGAACACCATCATCATCACCATCATCATCACCATCATCATCACCATCATCATCACCATCATCATCACCACCACCATCAACATCACCACCATAACCATCATCATCACCATCATCATCACCACCATCATCACCACCATCACCACCACCATCAGCACCATCACCACCATCACCACCGTCACCTTCACCACCACCATCACGACCACCACCCCCACCATCACCACCATCACCACCACCACCACCACCCCCACCATCACCACCCCCACCATCACCACCATCACCACCACCATCACCACCATCACCATCACCACCATCACCATCACCACCATCACCACCATCACCATCACCACCACCACCACCCCCACCATCACCACCATCACCATCACCACCACCATCACCACCATCACCACCACCATCACCACCATCGCCACCATCACCACCACCACCATCACCACCATCACCATCACCACCACCACCATCACCACCATCACCACCATCATCACCATCATCACCATCACCACCACCACCACCACCACCATCATCACCACCATCACCACCATCACCACCACCCCGACCATCACCATCACCACCACCACCACCATCACCACCATCACCACCACCACCATCACCACCATCACCACCACCACCATCATCACCATCACCAAAATCACCACCATCACTATCACCAAAATCACCACCATCACCACCACCATCACCACCATCACCACCACCCCCACCATCACCACCACCATCACCACCACCATCACCACCACCATCACCACCATCATCACCATCATCACCACCACCATCACCACCATCACCATCACCACCATCACCACCACCATCACCACCATCACCATCACCACCTTCACCATCACCACCACCATCACCACCATCACCACCACCATCACCACCACCATCACCACCATCACCATCACCACCACCACCATCACCACCATCACCATCACCACCACCATCACCATCACCACCACCATCACCACCATCACCACCACCACCATCACCACCACCATCACCACCACCACCATCACCACCACCCCCACCATCACCACCACCATCACCACCATCACCACCATCACCACCACCATCACCAAAATCACCAACATCACCACCACCATCACCACCATCACCATCATCACCACGATCACCACGATCACATTGACATGTTGTTGATGATGTTGATGATGATGTTGCTGTTGTTGTTGATGTTGTTGATGATGTTGCTGTTGTTGTTGATGTTGTTGATGATGTTGCAGTTGTTGTTGTTGACACTGTTGTTGTTGATGTTGTTGTTGATGTTGACGATGTTGTTGTTGACGATGTTGTTGATGTTGTTGTTGACAATGTTGTTGATGTTGTTGTTGTTGATGTTGTTGATGTTGTTGTTGTTGTTGATGATGTTGTTGATGTTGTTGTTGACGATGTTGTTGTTGTTGACGATGTTGTTGATGTTGTTGTTGACAATGTTGTTGTTGACGATGTTGTTGTTGATGTTGTTGTTGACGATGTTGTTGATGTTGTTGTTGTTGATGTTGTTGATGTTGTTGTTGTTGATGTTGTTGTTGTTGATGTTGTTGATGTTGTTGTTGTTGTTGATGATGTTGTTGATGTTGTTGTTGTTGACGATGTTGTTGATGTTGTTGTTGTTGTTGTTGATGTTGATGTTGTTGTTGACAATGTTGTTGTTGATGTTGTTGTTGATGTTGACGATGTTGTTGTTGACGATGTTGTTGTTGACGATGTTGTTGATGTTGTTGTTGACAATGTTGTTGTTGATGTTGTTGTTGATGTTGACGATGTTGTTGTTGACGATGTTGTTGATGTTGTTGTTGACAATGTTGTTGTTGATGTTGTTGATGTTGTTGTTGTTGTTGATGATGTTGTTGATGTTGTTGATGATGTTGTTGATGTTGATGATGTTGTTGATGTTGTTGATGTTGTTGTTGTTGATGTTGTTGTTGATGTTGTTGATGTTGTTGATGTTGTTGTTGTTGTTGCAGGAGGCTCGCCGTGTGGGCGTGAACTTGCGCACCCACGAGACTGTGACCCTGCACAGTCACCATGCCGCTCAGGTGGGGGGTGACTGTGTGTGTGTGTCTGTGTGTGTCTGTGTGTGTGTGTGTGTCTGTGTGTGTGTGTCTGTGTGTGTGTGTCTGTGTGTGTGTGTCTGTGTGCGACTGTGTGTCTGTGTGTGTCTGTGTGTGTGTCTGTGTGTGTGTGTCTGTGTGTGTGTGTCTGTGTGTGTGTGTCTGTGTGTGTTACTGTGCGTGTGTCTGTGTGTCTGTGTGTGTGTCTGTGTGTGTGTGTCTGTGTGTGTGTGCGACTGTGTGTGTGTGTGTGACTGTGTGTGTGTGACTGTGTGTGTGACTGTGTGTGTGTGTCTGTGTGTGTCTGTGTGTGTGTGTCTGTGTGTGTGTGATTATGTGTGTGACTGTGTGTGTGTGACTGTGTGTGTGTGACTGTGTGTGTGACTGTGTGTGTGTGTCTGTGTGTGTGTGACTATGTGTGTGACTGTGTGTGTGACTGTGTGTGTGTGTCTGTGTGTGTGTGTGACTGTGTGTGACTGTGTGTGTGTGACTGTGTGTGTGTGTCTGTGTGTGTGTGACTATGTGTGTGACTGTGTGTGTGTGACTGTGTGTGACTGTGTGTGTGTGTGTGTGACTGTGTGTGTGTGTGTGACTGTGTGTGAGTCCGGCAAAACAACCTCCTACCTCCTCGCGGTGCCGGACGGGCAACTCTGTCGTGGACAGTGCTGTGGGGGGAGATCCAATTTTTATTGGCTCCTCCCCTCATGGCGTCTGTGTCCACCACAGGGGCTAAACGGGGGCTGGTAACCCCTTCACATTCAATTAATTACCACGAAAGCACGAGTTAAACTGAAATATGTAACTAATAAGCTTGTGCCGGAGGCCCCGGGGGGCCAGGCGTCTATGACGTCTCCTGGCCAAACCCCAATTGGCGGAGCCAGGAGATTGAATACCTACCCTCGGGGCTACTCCAGAAACAGCAAAAAGCCACTACGGGTGGCCACTTGGAATGTTCGAACGCTCACTGCAGAGGAGAGGCTGCCACTCCTCTGTCGGGAGCTGGACCGGTACCGCCTGGATCTATGCGGAATTCAGGAGGTCCGGTGGACCGGCTCTGGCTCCTGCCACCATGAGGGGTGGACAGTCCTCTACTCGGGGCAGCAGACTGCCAAACAACAGGGTGTGGCTCTTCTTTTGAACAAAAGAATGAAGGGGGCGTGGGAGCGTGGCGGTGAGGTGTGGGAAGCTGTAAGCCCCAGGCTACTTTGGGCTCGCCTTCCCATCAACCGGAGGCGAGGAATGGTGGTCGTGCTTACTTATGCCCCCACCGAAGATGAACATCCGTGGAGGGATGCAGGCAAAGCCGATGAGTCAGATGCCTTCTATGACCTCCTGTCACAGGTGCTGGCTAAAGTGGCCCCTCGGGATAGAGTCATCATGTTGGGTGACTTCAATGCCCGAGTTGGTCATGATACTGGCACCTGGTCTGGAGTTATTGGAGGGCATGGGCCAGATCAGCTCAATAGCAACGGTAGGAGGCTGCTAGATTTTTGTGCAGCCCATGGGCTTGTAATTACCAACACGCTGTTCCGGCATCGGCGCATCCACACAACATCATGGATGCATGCCGGGTCCAAGCAAGAACATCTGCTGGACCACATAGTGACGGACCAGCGGATGCGAGCCCATGTCCTTGACACCAGGACCTACCGTGGAGCTGATCTGCCCTCTGACCATCGACTAGTCATCTGTAAGATGCGCCTGCCATTCTTCCACTCTGGTGGTGGGTGTACACCCAGGACCCCATTCCGACCTAAAGTGGCCTGGTCTCAGTTATCTGATGAAAGTTGCAAGCGAGAATTTCATCATCGCTTGCGGCTGGGTTTGGCATCGTCCCCGACTCCTCCTGATGTCGGGGTAAATGGGCGAGGTTTAGGACTGTGACTCATGCAGCTGCAATGGCTGCTTTAGGTACGCGGTCCAGACCTCCCCAGAGACCCTGGCTGACAGAGGAGGTGTTCAGGATGGTTGAGAAAAAGCGACAGGCCCACTCTTATCGGCTACAGAATCCCACGTCAGAGAATGAGGAGGCTTACCGCAGCCTTCGCTCGGAGGTTCGGAGAGCCGTGAGGCGCTGCAAGGATGGGTGGTGGTCGCGGGTTGCTGAGGAGATGGAGTCTGCCTCAGTGGCCCGTGATCACAAATCTCTATTTAACTCCATCAAAAAGTAACCTGCAGCGCCACACCTACTACCATCATTAGGAGAAAAAACGGTGATCCAATCTCCGACCCCCAGGAACAGGTTTGCAGATTTGCTGAGCATTTCTGTGAGGTCCTGGGGGAGGGAAAATCCCTCAGCCAGGAAAACATCGTGGCACAAAGTGAGGATGACCCTGCTGAGGCTGCGGTGCCTCAAATATTGGAAGAAGTCACCCCCTGTGAGTGGCTGGCTGAGGTTCCATCTGCTGAGGAAGTACTGAAGGCGATCCGGAGTCTGAGACCAGGAAAGGCAGCGGGCAGAGATGATCTCCCAAGCGAAATGCTGAGGGAGGGTGGCGTTTGTGCACAGACTGCCCTATATGACATCATAACAACAGTCTGGACCACTGGACGGGTTCCGCAGGATTGGAAGGATGCCCTGGTGGTCCCCCTTTTTAAGAAGGGGGACCGCACAGACTGTAACAACTACAGGGGCATCTCACTCCTCAGTGTGCCGGGAAAGGTCCTGGCAAGGATTATTCAGCATCGCCTTGCCAGGCACGCTGAGGAGAGGCTTGCGGAGCCCCAATGCGGTTTCAGGAAAGGGCGGTCCTGCACAGATGCCATATTTTCTGTCCGTCTGCTACAGCAAAGGTGTAGGGAATTCCAACAAGACCTGCATCTCTGCTTTATTGACCTGGTCAAGGCCTATGATACCATCAGTAGGCCTGGGCTCTGGGTCGTTCTTCGTGCTTTTGGAGTACCTGACCCTCTGCTCACGATCATTAAGGACCTTCATGATGGTGAGCGGGCCCGGGTAAAACTACGTGGCCGGGAGTCAGAGCCATTTCCTGTACACCTTGGGGTGCGACAGGGATGTCCTCTGGCTCCCACATTATTTAACATCTATTTTGACCACGTAGTTCGTGAAGCCTTCAATAGCTGTACCGGGGCAATCTCCATATGGTACAGATATAATGGGAGGCTGATCGATGCCCGGGTGCGGTCAAGGGATTGCTCCCTATTGCTCAACCATGTTATGTATGCTGATGATTTGGTAATAGCTGCTCAATCAGAGGAGGAGTTGGAGACGCTGCTGCTGAGACTGGAGCGTGCCACTAAGAGGTGGGGCCTTACCATCAGCCCCACCAAAACTAAGCACCTGCCTGGGTATTTTGTACCATCGGACACTCCACCCCCACAACTCCCAATCGGTGACTGGTACCAGCGGTGTCAAGATCGGCCTCTGTGGAGGAGGCTCGTGAAGGATGCTACTGGGCAGTTGGAGGTAGTCGCCCTCCAACAACAACGGAGGGTGGAGGAGCGACGCTCAGAACAACGAGCGGAGCGCCGGGTGGCTAAAGCACAGCAGGTTGGCACAGTAGGGGGCACAGGTGGTGCATCAGCCAGTCATCTCAGTCAGTCGACCCGTGGCACCTGGGTCTGCCCCGTGACCTCCTGCCAGCGGGCGTTCGACACTTCACGTGGCCTCAGGGTGCACATAGCCTGGCACAAGCGTTGTGGTGACGTTACCGCCACTTAGTGGCGAATGGCGGTTGTTGTTGTTGTGTGACTGTGTGTGTGACTGTGTGTGTGTGTGACTGTGTGTGTGTGTGTGACTGTGTGTGTGTGACTGTGTGTGTGACTGTGTGACTGTGTGTGTGTGACTGTGTGTGTGTGACTGTGTGTGTGTGTGAATGTGTGTGTGACTGTGTGTGTGTGTGACTGTGTGTGTGACCGTGTGTGTGTGTCACTGTGTGTGTGTGCGTGACTGTGTGTGTGTGTGTGTGTGTGTGTGTGTCTGTGTGTGTGACTGTGTGTGTGTGACTGTGTGTGACTGTGTGTGTGTGTGACTGTGTGTGTGACTGTGTGTGTGTGTGACTGTGTGTGTGTGACTGTGTGTGTGACTGTGTGTGTGTGTGTGACTGTGTGTGTGGCTGTGTGTGTGTGACTGTGTGTGTGACTGTGTGTGTGTGACTGTGTGTGTGTGACTGTGTGTGTGACTGTGTGTGTGTGACTGTGTGTGTGTGACTGTGTGTGTGACTGTGTGTGTGTGACTGTGTGTGTGACTGTGTGTGCGCGTGACTGTGTGTGTTTGTGACTGTGTGTGCGCGTGACTGTGTGTGTTTGTGACTGTGTGTGTGACTGTGTGTGTGTGACTGTGTGTGTGACTGTGTGTGTGACTGTGTGTGTGACTGTGTGTGTGTGACTGTGTGTGTGTGACTTTGTGTGTGTGACTGTGTGTGTGTGTGACTGTGTGTGTGTGACTGTGTGTGTGACTGTGTGTGTGTGACTGTGTGTGTGACTGTGCGTGTGACTGTGTGTGTGACTGTGTGTGTGTGTGTGACTGTGTGTGTGTGACTGTGTGTGTGTGACTGTGTGTGTGTGACTGTGTGTGTGGCTGTGTGTGTGTGTGACTGTGTGTGTGTGACTGTGTGTGTGTGACTGTGTGTGTGTGTGACTGTGTGTGTGACTGTGTGTGACTGTGTGTGTGACTGTGTGTGTGACTGTGTGTGTGTGTCACTGTGTGTGTGACTGTGTGTGTGTGACTGTGTGTGTGTGTGACTGTGTGTATGTGTGTGACTGTGTGTGTGACTGTGTGTGTGACTGTGTGTGTGTGACTGTGTGTGTGTGACTGTGTGTGTGACTGTGTGTGTGTGACTGTGTGTGTGTGACTGTGTGTGTGTGTGACTGTGTGTGTGTGACTGTGTGTGTGTGACTGTGTGTGTGTGACTGTGTGTGTGACTGTGTGTGTGTGTGACTGTGTGTGACTGTGTGTGTGTGACTGTGTGTGTGACTGTGTGTGTGACTGTGTGTGACTGTGTGTGTGTGACTGTGTGTGTGTGACTGTGTGTGTGTGTGTGACTGTGTGTGTGTGTGTGACTGTGTGTGTGTGACTGTGTGTGTGTGTGACTGTGTGTGTGTGTGTGTGACTGTGTCTGTGTGACTGTGTGTGTGTGACTGTGTGTGTGTGTGACTGTGTGTGTGTGACTGTGTGTGTGTGACTGTGTGTGTGTGTGACTGTGTGTGTGTGACTGTGTGTGTGTGTGACTGTGTGTGTGTGTGACTGTGTGTGTGTGACTGTGTGTGTGTGACTGTGTGTGTGACTGTGTGTGTGTGACTGTGTGTGTGTGTGACTGTGTGTGTGTGACTGTGTGTGTGTGACTGTGTGTGTGACTGTGTGTGTGTGACTGTGTGTGTGTGACTGTGTGTGTGTGTGACTGTGTGTGTTTGTGACTGTGTGTGTGACTGTGTGTGTGTGTGACTGTGTGTGTGTGACTGTGTGTGTGTGACTGTGTGTTTGTGACTGTGTGTGTGTGACTGTGTGTGTGTGACTGTGTGTGTGTGACTGTGTGTGTGACTGTGTGTGTGACTGTGTGTGTGTGACTGTGTGTGTGACTGTGTGTGTGACTGTGTGTGTGTGACTGTGTGTGTGTGTGACTGTGTGTGTGGCTGTGTGACTGTGTGTGTGACTGTGTGTGTGTGTGACTGTGTGTGTGTGTGACTGTGTGTGTGTGACTGTGTGTGTGTGACTGTGTGTGACTGTGTGTGTGTGTGACTGTGTGTGTGACTGTGTGTGACTGTGTGTGTGTGTGTGACTGTGTGTGTGACTGTGTGTGTGACTGTGTGTGTGTGTGTGACTGTGTGTGTGTGACTGTGTGTGTGTGACTGTGTGTGTGACTGTGTGTGTGTGTGACTGTGTGTGTGACTGTGTGTGTGTGACTGTGTGTGTGTGTGACTGTGTGTGTGTGACTGTGTGTATGTGTGACTGTGTGTGTGTGACTGTGTGTGTGACTGTGTGTGTGTGACTGTGTGTGTGACTGTGTGTGTGTGACTGTGTGTGTGACTGTGTGTGTGTGACTGTGTGTGTGACTGTGTGTGTGACTGTGTGTGTGACTGTGTGTGTGACTGTGTGTGTGACTGTGTGTGTGTGTGACTGTGTGTGTGTGTGACTGTGTGTGTGACTGTGTGTGTGTGTGACTGTGTGTGTGTGACTGTGTGTGTGTGTGAGTGTGTGTGTGCGTGACTGTGTGTGTTTGTGACTGTGTGTGTGACTGTGTGTGTGTGTGTGACTGTGTGTGTGACTGTGTGTGTGACTGTGTGTGTGTGACTGTGTGTGTGTGACTGTGTGTGTGTGACTGTGTGTGTGTGACTTTGTGTGTGTGACTGTGTGTGTGTGACTGTGTGTGTGTGACTGTGTGTGTGACTGTGTGTGTGACTGTGTGTGTGACTGTGTGTGTGTGTGACTGTGTGTGTGACTGTGTGTGTGTGTGACTGTGTGTGTGGCTGTGTGTGTGTGTGACTGTGTGTGTGACTGTGTGTGTGTGACTGTGTGTGTGTGACTGTGTGTGTGTGTGTGACTGTGTGTGTGTGACTGTGTGTGTGACTGTGTGTGTGTGTGTCACTGTGTGTGTGACTGTGTGTGTGTGACTGTGTGTGTGTGACTGTGTGTGTGTGTGACTGTGTGTATGTGTGTGACTGTGTGTGTGACTGTGTGTGTGTGACTGTGTGTGTGACTGTGTGTGTGTGACTGTGTGTGTGACTGTGTGTGTGACTGTGTGTGTGTGTGACTGTGTGTGTGTGACTGTGTGTGTGACTGTGTGTGTGTGACTGTGTGTGTGTGTGACTGTGTGTGTGTGACTGTGTGTGTGACTGTGTGTGTGACTGTGTGTGTGTGACTGTGCGTGTGTGACTGTGTGTGTGACTGTGTGTGTGTGACTGTGTGTGACTGTGTGTGTGACTGTGTGTGTGACTGTGTGTGTGTGACTGTGTGTGTGACTGTGTGTGTGTGACTGTGTGTGACTGTGTGTGTGTGACTGTGTGTGTGTGACTGTGTGTGTGACTGTGTGTGTGACTGTGTGTGTGTGTGACTGTGTGTGTGACTGTGTGTGTGACTGTGTGTGTGTGTGACTGTGTGTGTGTGACTGTGTGTGTGTGACTGTGTGTGTGTGACTTTGTGTGTGTGACTGTGTGTGTGTGTGACTGTGTGTGTGTGCCTGTGTGTGTGACTGTGTGTGTGTGACTGTGTGTGTGACTGTGTGTGTGTGACTGTGTGTGTGACTGTGTGTGTGTGACTGTGTGTGTGACTGTGTGTGTGTGTGTGACTGTGTGTGTGACTGTGTGTGTGTGTGACTGTGTGTGTGTGTGACTGTGTGTGTGGCTGTCTGTGTGTGTGACTGTGTGTGTGACTGTGTGTGTGTGTGACTGTGTGTGTGACTGTGTGTGTGTGTGACTGTGTGTGTGTGACTGTGTGTGTGTGACTGTGTGTGTGACTGTGTGTGTGACTGTGTGTGTCACTGTGTGTGTGACTGTGTGTGTGACTGTGTGTGTGTGACTGTGTGTGTGTGTGACTGTGTGTATGTGTGTGACTGTGTGTGTGACTGTGTGTGTGACTGTGTGTGTGACTGTGTGTGTGTGACTGTGTGTGTGACTGTGTGTGTGTGACTGTGTGTGTGACTGTGTGTGTGTGACTGTGTGTGTGACTGTGTGTGTGTGTGACTGTGTGTGTGACTGTGACTGTGTGTGTGTTACTGTGTGTGTGACTGTGTGTGTGTGTGTGACTGTGTGTGTGTGTGACTGTGTGTGTGTGACTGTGTGTGACTGTGTGTGTGACTGTGTGTGTGTGACTGTGTGTGTGTGTGACTGTGTGTGTGACTGTGTGTGTGTGACTGTGTGTGTGTGACTGTGTGTGTGTGTGACTGTGTGTGTGTGTGACTGTGTGTGTGTGACTGTGTGTGTGTGACTGTGTGTGTGTGTGACTGTGTGTGTGTGACTGTGTGTGTGTGTGACTGTGTGTGTGACTGTGTGTGACTGTGTGTGTGTGACTGTGTGTGTGTGTGACTGTGTGTGTGTGTGACTGTGTGTGTGACTGTGTGTATGTGACTGTGTGTGTGACTGTATGTGTGTGACTGTGTGTGTGTGACTGTGTGTGTGACTGTGTGTGTGTGACTGTGTGTGTGTGACTGTGTGTGTGTGTGACTGTGTGTGTGACTGTGTGTGTGACTGTGTGTGTGTGTGTGACTGTGTGTGTGACTGTGTGTGTGTGACTGTGTGTGTGTGACTGTGTGTGTGTGACTGTGTGTGTGACTGTGTGTGTGTGTGACTGTGTGTGTGACTGTGTGTGTGACTGTGTGTGTGACTGTGTGTGTGCGTGACTGTGTGTGTTTGTGACTGTGTGTGTGACTGTGTGTGTGACTGTGTGTGTGTGACTGTGTTTGTGTGACTGTGTGTGTGTGACTTTGTGTGTGTGTGTGACTGTGTGTGTGACTGTGTGTGTGACTGTGTGTGTGACTGTGTGTGTGTGACTGTGTGTGTGTGACTGTGTGTGTGTGACTGTGTGTGTGTGTGACTGTGTGTGTGGCTGTGTGTGTGTGTGACTGTGTGTGTGTGACTGTGTGTGACTGTGTGTGTGTGACTGTGTGTGTGTGACTGTGTGTGTGTGACTGTGTGTGTGACTGTGTGTGTGTGTGTGTCACTGTGTGTGTGACTGTGTGTGTGTGACTGTGTGTGTGTGTGACTGTGTGTATCTGTGTGACTGTGTGTGTGAATGTGTGTGTGTGACTGTGTGTGTGTGACTGTGTGTGTGTGTGACTGTGTGTGTGTGACTGTGTGTGACTGTGTGTGCGTGTGACTGTGTGTGTGACTGTTTGTGTGACTGTGTGTGTGTGACTGTGTGTGTGTGTGACTGTGTGTGTGTGACTGTGTGTGTGACTGTGTGTGTGACTGTGTGTGTGACTGTGTGTGTGTGACTGTGTGTGTGACTGTCTGTGTGACTGTGTGTGTGTGTGACTGTGTGTGTGTATGACTGTGTGTGACTGTGTGTGTGTGACTGTGTGTGTGTGTGTAGTGGGTTCTCGACAAGATATCCGAGGCCCGTGCAGCGTGGGATGCAGACTCTGTACGGGAGATGAGTACCGCTGGATTCAGAACAGCCTGACTCACTCAGCCTGACTCACTGAGCCTGACTCACTCACTCACTCAGCCTGACTCACTCACTTAATCTGACTCACTTAGCCTGACTCACTCACTCAGCCTGACTCACTCACTTAGCCTGACTCACTCACTTAGCCTGACTCACTCAGCCTGACTCACTCACTTAGCCTGACTCACTCACTTAGCCTGACTCACTCAGCCTGACTCACTCAGCCTGACTCACTTAGCCTGATTCACTTAGCCTGACTCACTCACTCAGCCTGACTCACTCAGCCTGACTCACTCAGCCTGACCCACTGAGCCTGACTCACTCAGCCTGACTCACTCACTCACTCAGCCTGACTCACTCACTTAGCCTGACTCACTCAGCCTGACTCACTCACTCAGCCTGACTCACTCAGCCTGACTCACTCACTTAGCCTGACTCACTCAGCCTGACTCACTCACTTAGCCTGACTCACTCACTCAGCCTGACTCACTTAGCCTGACTCACTCAGCCTGACTCATTCAGCCTGACTCACTCAGCCTGACTCACTCAGCCTGACTCACTCAGCCTGACTCACTCAGCCTGACTCACTCAGCCTGACTCACTCACTTAGCCTGACTCACTCAGCCTGACTCACTTAGCCTGACTCACTCAGCCTGACTCACTCACTCAGCCTGACTCACTTAGCCTGACTCACTCAGCCTGACTCACTTAGCCTGACTCACTCACTCAGCCTGACTCACTCAGCCTGACTCACTTCACTTCGCGTGCAAATCGTTAATTAGTTTTTATCCGCTGCTTTGTTCACATGGACGATGATGATGATGACGATGATGACGATGATGACGATGATGACGATGATAATGACGATGATGACGATGATGATGACGATGACGATGATGATGATGACGACGATGATGATGACGACGACGATGATGACGATGATGACGATGACGACGACGATGCTGATGATGATGACGACGATGACCATGATGATGACGATGATGACGATGATTATTTGTTGTGGTGGTAGCGGTGGTGGTGTTCACGTGATGGTGATTTCGTCAATGGAAATGCACGTGGGTGTTGTGTTAATACGATCGTGATTATTTTAATGTGAACGTGATTATGTTAATGTGAACGTGATTATGTTAATGTGATCGTGGTTGGTAATGCGATCGTGATTATAGTTTGACCGTGATTATGGCGATGTGATCGTGGTTATGTTAATGTGACCGTGGTTATGTCGATGTGATCGCGGTTATGTTAATGTGACCGTGGTTATGTTAATGTGATCGTGGTTATGTTAATGTGATCGTGGTTATTTTAATGTGACCGTGGTTATGTTAATGTGACCATGGTTATGTTAATGTGACCGTGGTTATGTTTATGTGACTGTGGTTATGTTAATGTGACTGTGGTTATGTTAATGTGACCGTGGTTATGTGAATGTGATCGTGGTTATGTTAATGTGACCGTGGTTATGTTAATGTGACCGTGGTTATGTTAATGTGACCGTGGTTATGTTAATGTGACCGTGGTTATGTTAATGTGACCGTGGTTATGTTAATGTGACCGTGGTTATGTTAATGCGACCGTGGTTATGTTAATGTGACCGTGGTTATGTTAATGTGACCGTGGTTATGTTAATGTGACCGTGGTTATGTTAATGTGACCGTGGTTATGTCGATGTGACCGTGGTTATGTCGATGTGATCGTGGTTATGTTAATGTGATCGTGGTTATGTTAATATGATCGTGGTTATGTTAATGTGACCGTGGTTATGTTAATGTGGTTAGATAATGCTAGCAGTGATGTGTTATGCTCATGTTGTGCATTCTAATTGGGTTCCGATTACGTTAATGCGCTCGCGATGACGTTGATTCTGATGGCGATGATTTTGTCAATGGTGTTTGTGATTACGTTAAAGCTGACGACGATGTCACTGAGCCACTTTATTATAACCACCACCACGAGGTGGGTGGGTGGGTGACTGAGTGGGTGAGTGAGTGTGTGAGTGAGTGGGTGACTGAGTGGGTGACTGAGTGAGTGTGTGAGTGAGTGGGTGACTGAGTGGGTGACTGAGTGGGTGAGTGAGTGGGTGGGTGGGTGGGTGAGTGGGTGGGTGGGTGAGTGTGTGGGTGGGTGGGTGAGTGGGTGGGTGGGTGGGTGGGTGAGTGGGTGGGTGGGTGGGTGAGTGGGTGAGTGAGTGGGTGAGTGGGTGAGTGAGTGAGTGAGTGGGTGAGTGAGTGGGTGGGTGGGTGAGCGAGTGAGTGGGTGCGTGAGTGGGTAAGTGGGTGGGTGAGTGGGTGAGTGAGTGAGTGGGTGAGCGAGTGAGTGGGTGCGTGAGTGGATGAGTGAGTGGGTGAGTGAGTGAGTGGGTGAGTGAGTGGGTGGGTGAGTGAGTGAGTGGGTGGGTGAGTGGGTGAGCGGGTGAGTGGGTGAGCGAGTGAGTGGGTGCGTGAGTGGGTAAGTGGGTGGGTGAGTGGGTGAGTGAGTTGAGTGGGTGAGCGAGTGAGTGGGTGCGTGAGTGGATGAGTGAGTGGGTGAGTGAGTGAGTGGGTGAGTGGGTGGGTGAGTGAGTGAGTGGGTGAGTTGGTCAGCCCCAGCAGGTGCCATGGGTTGGCTGAGATGAGCGGTAGATGCACCACCATCTGTATCCCCGACTGTGCCAACACTCACCTACTCTCCTCCACACACAGACACACACACAGACACACACAGAAACACACAGACACACACACACAGACACACACAGTAACAGTCACACACAGACACACACACACAGACACACACACACAGACACACACACACAGTCACACACACACACACACAGACACAAACACAGTCACACAACAACAACAACAACAACCGCCATTCGCCACTAAGTGGCGGTGACGTCACCACGACGCTTGTGCCAGGCTATGTGCACCCTGAGGCCACGTGAAGTGTCAAACGCCCGTTGGCAGGAGGTCACGGGGCAGACCCAGGTGCCACGGGTCGACTGACTGAGATGACTGGCTGATGCACCACCTGTGCCCCCTACTGTGCCAACCCGCTGTGCCTTAGCCACCCGGCGCTCCGCTCGTTGTTGTGAGCGTCGCTCCTCCGCCCTCCGTTGTTGTTGGAGGGCGACTGCCTCCAACTGCCAAGCAGAAGCAGCAGCAGAAGCAGCAGCAGAAGCAGCAGCAGAAGCTGCAGAAGCAGCAGCAGAAGCAGCAGAAGCAGCAGCAGAAGCAGCAGAAGCAGCAGCAGAAGCAGCAGCAGAAGCAGCAGAAGCAGCAGCAGAAGCAGCAGAAGCAGCAGCAGAAGCAGCAGCAGAAGCAGCAGAAGCAGCAGCAGAAGCAGCAGAAGCAGCAGCAGAAGCAGCAGAAGCAGCAGCAGAAGCAGCAGAAGCAGCAGCAGAAGCAGCAGAAGCAGCAGCAGAAGCAGCAGCAGAAGCAGCAGAAGCAGCAGCAGCAGAAGCAGCAGCAGAAGCAGCAGCAGAAGCAGCAGAAGCAGCAGCAGCAGAAGCAGCAGCAGCAGCAGCAGCAGAAGCAGCAGCAGCAGAAGCAGCAGCAGCAGAAGCAGCAGCAGCAGAAGCAGCAGAAGCAGCAGCAGCAGAAGCAGCAGCAGCAGAAGCAGCAGCAGAAGCAGCAGCAGAAGCAGCAGCAGCAGCAGCAGAAGCAGAAGCAGCAGAAGCAGCAGCAGCAGCAGAAGCAGCAGCAGAAGCAGAAGCAGCAGAAGCAGAAGCAGCAGCAGCAGAAGCAGAAGCAGCAGAAGCAGAAGCAGAAGCAGCAGAAGCAGCAGAAGAAGCAGCAGCAGCAGAAGCAGCAGCAGCAGAAGCAGCAGCAGAAGCAGCAGCAGCAGCAGAAGCAGCAGCAGAAGCAGCAGCAGAAGCAGCAGCAGCAGAAGCAGCAGCAGCAGAAGCAGCAGCAGCAGAAGCAGCAGCAGCAGCAGAAGCAGCAGCAGCAGCAGCAGAAGCAGCAGCAGCAGCAGAAGCAGCAGAAGCAGCAGCAGCAGAAGCAGCAGCAGCAGCAGAAGCAGCAGCAGCAGCAGAAGCAGCAGCAGAAGCAGCAGCAGCAGAAGCAGCAGCAGCAGAAGCAGCAGCAGCAGCAGAAGCAGCAGCAGAAGCAGCAGAAGCAGCATAAGCAGCAGCAGCAGAAGCAGCAGCAGCAGAAGCAGCAGCAGAAGCAGAAGCAGCAGCAGCAGCAGCAGAAGCAGCAGCAGCAGAAGCAGCAGCAGCAGAAGCAGCAGCAGCAGAAGCAGCAGCAGCAAAAGCAGCAGCAGCAGCAGCAGAAGCAGCAGAAGCAGCAGAAGCAGCAGCAGAAGCAGCAGTAGAAGCAGCAGCAGAAGCAGCAGCAGCAGAAGCAGCAGCAGCAGAAGCAGCAGCAGCAGCAGAAGCAGCAGCAGCAGAAGCAGCAGCAGCAGCAGAAGCAGCAGCAGCAGCAGAAGCAGCAGCAGCAGCAGAAGCAGCAGCAGCAGAAGCAGCAACAGAAGCAGCAGCAGCAGCAGAAGCAGCAGCAGCAGCAGAAGCAGCAGCAGCAGAAGCAGCAGAAGCAGCAGCAGCAGAAGCAGCAGCAGCAGAAGCAGCAGCAGCAGAAGCAGCAGCAGCAGAAGCAGCAGCAGCAGCAGAAGCAGCAGCAGCAGCAGAAGCAGCAGAAGCAGCAGCAGCAGAAGCAGCAGCAGAAGCAGCAGCAGCAGCAGAAGCAGCAGAAGCAGCAGCAGCAGCAGCAGAAGCAGCAGCAGCAGAAGCAGCAGCAGAAGCAGCAGCAGCAGAAGCAGCAGCAGAAGCAGCAGCAGAAGCAGCAGCAGCAGCAGCAGAAGCAGCAGCAGAAGCAGCAGCAGCAGAAGCAGCAGCAGCAGAAGCAGAAGCAGCAGCAGCAGCAGCAGAAGCAGCAGCAGCAGAAGCAGCAGAAGCAGCAGCAGAAGCAGCAGCAGAAGCAGCAGAAGCAGCAGCAGAAGCAGCAGAAGCAGCAGCAGCAGAAGCAGCAGCAGCAGCAGCAGAAGCAGCAGCAGCAGAAGCAGCAGAAGCAGCAGCAGCAGAAGCAGCAGCAGCAGAAGCAGCAGCAGCAGAAGCAGCAGCAGCAGCAGAAGCAGCAGCAGCAGAAGCAGCAGCAGCAGAAGCAGCAGCAGCAGAAGCAGCAGCAGCAGCAGAAGCAGCAG